TATTAATATGTACAACTAAAATTACTAATAAAGATATGAGCAAGGCCTCACCTTAATACCAAAAAAAAAAAAAAAATCTCTTCTGGTGTGGAGAAACTTTTATGATCCACTCTTGGAAAGAATACAAGAGAATTACAGTTTAGGATATACAATATCAGTATCAGTACCATACAATTACAATCAAGGATACTCAAAAAGAACAGAATAGAAACAAGCAGTAGTGGCCTTTATAGATGATACAACCTGGATTACAAGTAGCCAAGCACAAATACAACAAACAATTAAAATCACAGAAGAATTTTTTGAAATAAATGATATACAAATTAATGAAAAAAAATCTAAACTAATTATCTTGAACTCAGAAGAAACAAAAGAAAATAGAATAATAAAATTAGGAAATGAACAAGTTTGAGAGGAAAGCACAAATAAGATAACAAGATTCTTAGATGTTTGGTTGAATTGCAAATTAAAAGATTCTTTAATTAGATCAAGAGCTCAAGAAACAGTACGAGCAACAGTCATAAGTCTAAATATCAAGAGAATAATGATAGCACAGGCATCATATATAAACAATATGTGCATTATACCAAAATTACTGTATATATTACAAACATTGAAGCTAACAAAGACAATAATAGATAAAATACAAAGCCCTTTACTAAAAATAGTAAAAAATAAATTAGAAATAGAAAGCACAACAGAGAATAGTATAATGCTACATAGGAATCTAAAAAATTACAATTCACTATGGAATCAACTTGCAGTCAAACAAATTACAAGTCTTTATACACAACTAAACTCAAGCAGTACAGAAGAAGTGCTTACAAGAATACGCATAAACCAAGGCCTTCTGTTAATAGGAGTAACAGAAAATACATAACATAAAAATTCTTCTAAACTTTGCAGTAAAATTTAGAAAAATAACCTAGCATGCTACACAATATTAAAAGCTAAAGAAATGCAAATTACATTAAGTTTTGGCAACACAAATCTACATTTAAATAGAAAAGGAAACAAAATTGTAGACTTGTTAGGAAATAACTATACAAGAAAGATAGCATTAGCATTAGAAAAGCTGAAGTTAATATATATAGAACAGCTAATTAATAAGTCTGATAATCAAATGATATCATGTCAACAACTCAAACTTTTATGAGATTTGTCATGCAAAGACAAACAAGCAGAATGGTTTAGTAAAATAGAAAAAAAAATGATAGAAAATAAGCAAAATAGAAGAATAGAAAGAAAGTAGCAAACTCAAAAACCAAATGTGCATGCACTTGAAATTCAGCTAGAGCCATGCTCAGAAGATAGAAGAAAGAAAGAATGGGTGTTCATAAAACTAAAGAAAAAGGGAAAAGAAGAGGGAAAAGAGAACTCAGAGCTATTTGTCAAAAGAGTTATTGCTAGTACACAGAATAAAGCTCTAACAGAACATTGAAAATGAGATATTGATCCAAAAAGCTTAAAACAAATATAATAATTGTAGTTTAAACCAAAAGATAGAAGAAGGAAGCTATACAAGATAAGAAAATAAAAGTGAAATTCAAGATTCAATATCAAAATTTGTAAGAAAACAAAAAGACCCAATCTTAGATTTAGGGTATGAAATGTTTACACAACTGGGTAACAAAGAAGAAGCATCACTAACAGAAAGTGAATGGAAAGCAGAATATGTATAATGCATGGATCTGGAAACAGAAATTATACAGAAGCAGTCAATAAGTCAGGCAATAAAGATAGAACTCATTTGTAAGAAAGACTTGAACCAAGAAAACCTAGAAGATACTCTGATATTCTATACAGATGAATCATTAAAAAAAGATTCAAAGAAAGGAATCTCAAGTCCAGATCGCATGAGAGCAGGCTGGATACAAGTCAATACAAAAAAAGAAAAAATAATTAATGAAGGTTACTTTGGAGTACAAAATTGGTCATCATCAACAAGACCTAAGCTATTAGCAATTTGCTATGTTTTGCTTACTGTTCCAAGCAGAAAAAAGATTAAAATATATACAGACAGTACAATAGCTATTGCAAATATAAAAGGCAAAAATAGCTTTTTATCTGCTAAACAACATTTAAAAAGAAAAAACTTTAATATATTAAAAATATTAGAAATAGTGTAGAATTAAAAGAACTTAAGTTAGAATTAATTAAAGTTAAAAGACATAGTAATAGTAAATGGAATATTAGAGCAGATAGATTAGTGAAAAAGAGATCTAAATTAGACAATATAGACAAAATAATTAAAGAAACAGCACAAGAAATTAGCATTAATCTTTGTTGGAAAAAAGAGGTAATAGAAGATACTACAAGACAATTACTAAAAGAAATTTTAAATCTTAAAACAAGTATAGAATGGAGTTTTATATTAGCAATCAAAAAAACAGAACTAGATAAGAACAATAGAGCATATAATTGGTCATATCTGTAAAAAAGAATGAAAGACCAAAATGGAAGCAAATGTATAAATATGAGAAAAAATAAGCAAATAGAAAGTTTGATAAAGTATATTAATGAAAAGTTATCTTTGGCCAAGATACTGATACAGCATCACCCTGATCTCTATAAGAATGCATACTGCATGCTTTGTCAAGAAGACAAAGAAGAAGATCAAGACCATTTGATAACATGTAAATATTATGAAATATATGAAGAAATATAAAAAAAACATCGGTCAGCTTGACATGATTAAAGTTATCAAATGAAACTAAAGCAGAAACATATAAAGATCAACTTAAAAAAATACTCTGGGGAATACAAATGAATAAAAAATTAAGAACAAGACAAGGAATAATCAAAGCCTACTACAAGAAAACTCAATAAATCATTTGCAAGATACTTTACGATCCTTTAAAGAAACAAAAGAATTTATTACAATAGCAATCAATATATCATGGAATTGTTTTTATGAAGATATATGAAAAAAATGATGTGAAGTTTTTACTCGATGAAAAAAAGAAATAGGAATTGGAAAAAAAGTTAAGTAGAGAAAAAGAACTGTAGAGAAAAAGCCAACTGAGAAGGTTAATGAGTCTAGTAGATCAGAAAGAAACCAAATGATAAAAGAAAGGAAAAAAAGAAAAGAGATAAAAAACAAAGAAATACAGGAAATGTGGTTTGACTCAATTACAAAATTTATAGATAGTAGAAAGAGGCCATTTATATATGACCTTTCTGGCTAGTTTGGTATAGCCTTCAGATCTGGGTACAACCCCAACCAGTGCGACAGACCACCTCTGGGCACTCAAAGAAGTAGCCGAAAGATGTCGAACCAAAATCTTAAGTTAAAAATGTATGTAATTTATATACAAGAATCTTAATAAAGGTTTACAGCAAGGCTGCCAAAGTTAAAAAAAAAAAAAAAATTTAAATACAGAATCTGAGATCTAAAATACTTAAAACCTAATCCCAGAGCATTGTCTAGGCCTAAGAGCTAAAAAAATATAAATACATATTTTAAAATTTAAAAACTATCAAATTTATATTTAAAATTACTTAGAACTTAGCCCTAGAGCATCACTCAAGTTTAAAAGCTAAAAAACTATAAATTAAACTAATATTAAATATTAAAGTATTTAAAATTCAAAAAACTATTAAATCTAAGATTAAAAACACTTAAGACCTAGCCCCGGAGCATCGCCCGGACCTGAGAGCTAAAAAACTATAAATTCAACTAATATGAAATAATAAAGACTTTAAAATCTAAAAAACTATTAAATCTGAGATCAAAAATACTTAGGACTAGCCCCGGAGCATCGCCCAGGTCTGAGAGCTAGTTAAAAACAATCGTTATAATCTGTGTACGCCAACACATTTACTCATTAAAGACCCAAACCTCCCTCACTGTAAAACCCGAACTGTACCATATTAACCACTCGCCAAATCTAACACGCCTCATTTGACCCGTTATTAACCATCCCAAGTGGTTACACGAGATACCCGATTGTGGAACGACCGACTCGCCGATTTTTACGATTACAATGGGTAATATAGGTTACGATCGCGAAGAAATGTCTGAGAGCGCAAGAAATTCCACTCCGTTCTGTTGTTGATGAGTTCAAATCCGATTCAATTAATGCATTGATGTTTGTTCGAGCTACTGATTTTATTGGTGCTGAAACAATTGTCGTTAATAATGAAATTCCTTTATATTCATCTGATATTGTTAGTCACAATCCTTATTCCGAAGAGTATGCACTAAATGAGAAGAATTTCAACAAGTGGATAACCAATTCCACTGTCGGTATTGACGAAATCAATGCCATTAAAGAACAATTCTTGGATAATGCTGATCTTGAGAATGAAGAAGAGAACTACGTTTATCAGTGGCTTAAAGGAATTGACAATGATACTGTTAGTGATAACTGTTCTTAAATTTATGGATTTAACCCAGCAATAAGTGGTGAAGAATATCAAAAAGATTCAGTTTCGAAACACGATACTATTTATTTTATTTAGCACTTTTTAATACGGTGGTACCCAATGAATTTAACAAATCGGTATATAAACCCGAAGAAATAGCTAACACTACGATCACTATTGTCGTTTCTCTAAGAAAATGAAAACGGATACAGTCGCATTAATGGCTCCAAATGTTGAAAAGCCCGATACTATCATAGAGTCTGAAAACCTGTCATTGTGTGATGAAGATGGTATCGATGAATATATGCGTTATGAAAATTATCTGCGAAAATACTATGTGCGAAGGCGTTTTTAAACTATATTCCGAATGAATCAATTGTCAAAGATTATCGTTAAGATGAAAGGTGGCCTTTAATTTTGTAAAATTTTTGGATAGTGGTTTGTAAAATCAACCTTGTCATTGATCGGTACTTACAATGTCGAAATGTCCGCGATTAATAATTCGGAAATTGTCAAATTATATTATGATTCTGTAAACGGATGGTATTTTGTTTATGAATCTTTTAGAGTATTTAATCATAAGCGTAAATTCAATTCAATGGCAGCAATTAATTATTCTAAGTTTCAAGTTCCAGAAGTGATAATGAAAGAAATTGTTCCAGGTGGTGGAAAAACTAGTAGTATTATGACCGCCGCTGATGCATTAGTTGACCATAAAAAATTCTGAATTTAAAGCCTATCCAATAATTTGTGTTCAGCGAGAAAAACATCGGATACAATCCGTGAAAGGTTTAAAACACCTACCGATTTTTTAATCAGTCGGATGTGCACTTATATAGAAGTCTGATCTGACTGTATTAAGAACATAATCATCACCTGTTTTTAATTATGTATTAAAAAACATTTTCACATCCCTACTTAACAGTATTCTAATTTAATTTAATAATAGTGATTCAAAAATTTTTGAAATTGTATATTAAAAAAATTTTTTTTACAACCATTTTTATTAGTGATTGTTTTATAAATTTAGTACCTTATAAAAAATAATAATTTAAAACATAAAGTAAATTGCATCAAGTTTCAAGAAAATCTTACATTTTAATTTTTTTTTATAACGCAATGTAATAAGTCTTTTTTTTTTATAAAAATGTATAGCATATAAACTTAAATATTCATCATGTATAATATTATTCATTGCTAACTAATCCATTTATTTAAAATATTTTCAAGTTGATTTGAACTTAGAGGTTTTGTTAAATAATCATTCATTCCTGACTTTATATAATTGTCATATATTTCTTCTAAGGGTAAAGAAGTTAATGCGATAATTGGTATATTTGAAATTGGTGGTTTCATTAATCTAACTGCTTGTGAAATATCAAAACCTGATATTGTTGGCTAATTTATATAATTATAAAGTAATTAATAATTATATCAAGTACTGTAAATATCATTACAAAAAAAAAATTTTAATAAACTTACTAAATTACATTCGGTTAAAATTAAAGAGATTCTACAAGATTTTATTAAATTTGATAATTCAGATTCAGATTTCATTATGTCAATTGCTTCTTGACCATTTGTTACAAAAATTGTTGAATAACCAAGTTCGGAAAGTTGTTGAAGTGTATTCTAAAAAGACAAAAAAAAAGAATCAATCGATAAATTTGTAAAGGTGATATGTTTGAAGTTTCAAAAATATAATTACCTCTAAATTAATAGAATCATTATCCTACAAATAAATATTAGATAAATATTGATCATTATCTTGATAATATATGATATTTAATCAGAAGTAATTAAAGAAAACAGTGCATACCACACATAGAATACATTTACTTTTAGAAACGGATCTTGAACTACTTTTTGATTCGTTTTCATTTTTGAATAAATGTTGATTTTCATCTTCAACTCTTTTCAAAGTATTTGTAACCTCACTTGTACTTTCAACAAGAAAATTTTTGGTAATACTATTGGTATTACTCATATTTGATAATTGCTTAATAAGATTTTTCCATGTAATTGGAGTATAAATAATAGCAGTTGGCCCCTCAACTTTTCTATTTAATCCTTCTACCAAGTCTTTTCCTTTATCACCCGAAGGTATTATAAATGTTATTAATAAATTACTCCCACATAAATTTCTTAACTCTGATATAGCTTTTATAACATCCTCTTCATCTTTTTCATATAATCTGATAAGTACTATATCATATGCGGATTGATTAGATAATCCTTTATAATTTTTCATTTCTTGAATACCTTTATCGAAAGTATCAAACGCATCAACATTTCCTATATTCTCAAGATATTTAACCATTGCATTTCTCGCACTTTCTACTGGATGAATTATTAACATTCTTTTAAATTTTACAGAATTTGACAATGCATTAAAAGGCAATTGTGTAAATGATGATGATGATGATGATGATGATAGTCCAATATTCCATGTAAACCAAAATTTACTTCCTTTTCCTAATTGACTTTCAGCATTAATTTCACCACCATTAATTGATACTAAATTTTTACATATTGAAAGACCAAGTCCTATACCATCTTGTCGCCTAGTTATTGATGAATCTACTTGTGAAAAACTATCCCAAATAGATTTCATATATTTATAATCAATTCTATTTAATATTTATATATAGATTAATTATATTACATAAAAGAATTGTATTAATAATAATTAATGATAATTAATAATAATGATTAAAATGATTATAATTTGCCTACCCGATTCCAGTATCAAATATTACAATTAACAAATAGCTATTTTTATCATTTGCTTCTTGTGAATGAATTGAAACTTCTATTACAATTTCACCCGTCTCAGTAAATTTTATACTGAATAAAATTAATAATTAAATTAAGAATAATTAAATTAATAATTAAGTTATTATAAAATCACAATAAAATTTAAATAAAAAAAAGTTATAAAATAATTACGAATTTGATAATAATTGAAATAAAACTTGTTTCAGCCTATACAATATATAAAGTAAATAATGAGCACTTATTTTTTTTACATAAAATTAAGTCGATTAAAATCTAATTTGATTTATATGAATTACCTTTCATAATCACTTTTAATATATCTTGGTAATTTCTTCAAATCATAATTTAAAATTAATTCAATTTGTTTATTTCCTGCTTTTTCTACAAACATCTCAATTGTATTTTCAAATAAATCCAATAAATCAAAGGTTTTATTTGTTAATGTGACCTTATTTGCTTCTAATTTTGCCACATTAAGAATGTTATTAACTACAGATAATATAGTATCAGAAGCACGTAACATTATTCTAATTATGTCCTTTTGATAATCTGTTAAAGAAACATCTTCGAAAGAAGAAAGAATGCCTACTATCGCTCCTAATGGAGTTCGTAGTTCTGCAACAAAAAAAAAAGAGAGGTAATTATATTTAAGAAATTAGTATAATAAATTAGTAGAATATATTAGTATAATAAATTAGTTTAACAAATTTAATTCAGTATATTGTAAGATATTTTTCCATACCATGGGAAGTATTTGCTAATATTTGACTCTTTGTATTATTCGCAATTTCTTCAACTTTTAATTGCAGTTCCTTTTTTAAATTCTCTTCTATTAATTCTTTATAAGTAATAGCTAACCCTATTTGATTTGATATTTGTTGTAATAAATTTATTTCTGTATTAAGCCAAATAGAATTTGGTGGCCTATATAACTTAATCCATCCCCAATTACAATTATACATTCTAATTTCTATAGACATCATAGATACTTTTTTACAAGTATCTGTACAATATACATCATATGAAATATCTATACCAGAATTATCTAAATATTCTTGAGAATTTTGGATTCTTTGTTCTTGTAATAACTTATTTTCAGTCATTATTGATGTCATATTGATGTTTATAGGATTTTCATAAGAAGAAATTATTGCAAATTTAGATTGTTCACGTGAAACAATAGATATTCTTTCACATGGTAATATATGATTAATTTCTTTAATAACATCAGTAAATGTATCTTTAAGATTATATCCTGATTGAAATTTACTTGAAATTAAAAGTAGAAATTGTTTTATTTCTTCTTGTTTATATTGTTGATATAATATTTTACGTCGAAGTTGTGATAGTTTAATATTAGAATAAATGCGTGAAATTAGTTCTCGAGCTGAAAAGGGTTTTGCTAAATAGTCATTGGCTCCATTATCAAATCCTAAAACATAAAAAAGTTAGATTTTATATACATGTAATACGTTGTCTCAGAAATCTCTAGATGTGATTAAAACATCTGAGACAATCTGAGATAAGATATATATATTGTAAAAAAAATTGAAAGGCTGATTATATAATTGTACCTTTGATACCAGTTTCTTCGTCAGCTCTTGCAGACAATAAAATCACTGGAATTAATTGAGTTTTTATATTAGATCTTAAAATTTCTAATAATTTATACCCATTCATATTTGGCATCATGATATCTATTGAATTCATATAGTTGTTTAAATTTAAAATAATTAATACGTAGAAAAATACAACATAAATAAATGTTTAATATTTGCTTACCAGTAAGAACTAAATCCGGTAACTCTTCAAGCTTTTTTAAAACTCGTATTGCATCCTGGCCATCGCATGCACGATGTACTTCAAATTCTCTTAACAAATCTGCCAAGTAATTTCTACAATTATGGACAATAATAATAAGAAATCATGCTTACAAAATTATAAATTCATTGAATTATTATTATTATAATTATTACCGCATGTCAGGATTATCATCAACAAGTAGAATTTGATATTTTTTTCTAGAAATAGTTGAAGAAGGTTCATCTTTAAAAGAAGGAAACTCAATTTCATTCGTCAAAGTATTATCAATATCCATGTTATCATCTTGAACTTTGATTGAATTATTTTGTATCCATTGTAAACCTTCTTCTAAATAAAGTTGTTTTTTTAAATGTAATAACTGATCTCGATTTTTGAAATCTTCTTCAAAACTATTATGATATACTTTATTTTTTGGTAAGTGTTCATATCCAGTTAGAAACCAGCATTTAAATGTTGTTCCTTGATTAACTACCGAGGTTACAGTAATATCACCACCATGATGTGTAATAAGTTCTTTGACAAGAGCGAGTCCAATACCTGTACCTTCATAACTACGTGAACTTTGCGAATCTACACGATAAAAACGTTGGAATATATTTGGAAGTGCAGCTTCTGGAATTCCAACTCCTAATTTAATTGTAAAAGAATATATTTAGTAATTTATAGAATCTATTAGTATTAGAGCACGTATTAAAATATTTAACCTGTATCAGAAATTTCTAAAACAATCATGTTTCTTTGATTTCTTTCATTTTCCTCGTTTTTACAATCAAAATATAAACGAACACTGACGTGTCCATTCCAAGTATTCTTTAATGCATTTGATACTTTAATAAATAAAAATATTTTAGCATAATAAATTTCGCACGTCATACTTTAAATAATGAAATTTATAAAATTGCAAGTAAAACTCTTACAAAGGTTAAATACAATTGTTTCATACATATCATGATCTAGATAAACTTTATCTTTCACAGTTTGATTAAATTCATCTTGATTTGGAATGTCGATAATATAATTCAAACCTAAAACTTTAGCCATATTTTCAAAATCAGTGGCTAATTCTTGAGTAAGTTTAGCAATATTTGTTTCATGAAAATGAGCTTCTAGTAGGCCAGATTCTGCATTTGAAAACTACATTAAAAAAATGAATTACCATTATTATATTTGAAATTTTAAAATATGACATTATAACCAGTTAACTGTTTGTGCAGATGTCTTACCTGAAGTAAAATATTGATCATCTTGAATAATCGAAATACACTGCGTCTTATAATTTGAAGATGTGACATTATTGGAGCATCTCGTGAACATTTATCAATTAATTCTTTAAGTGGTAAAAATATTATGTTTAATGGTACTAATATGATAAAAAATAAAAAAATAAAAAATATTATTATTAAGTTCATTGATAATTCATGAGATAATTTAGTTAGTTACATACCATTTAGTTCGTTACTGATATTTTGGAAAAACTTGTCTTTTTGATTATTTAAATCAGCCAATAATTTCGATTTTTTCTTTTCTTCTTCTACAGACCATGCATGCAGAAAAGCAGAGTTCACACAACTTGTCATCGACTAATAATCATTGTGGATTCTAGTTGAATAAATAATAAATAATTAATTACAGTATATAAAATTTAATATTTGCATACGTTTAGAAATTCCATGTATTGATCATCAAGTCTACGAAAAGGATTGATACCACAAATCAATACAGCTGATAAACTTTGATCTTGGCCGTATGAAATTTTTGTTGGTAAAAGTGCAGCTTGAGAACCATCTTTTAGAAGAACATTGATTTGTTTAAATTCCTTTATTGCAAGATGGATTGGCCACTCATCACATTTTATGAAAGAATAAATTGACTCATCCAGTTTTCCTTCCATGTATGCACCATAGTTGTTATCACATTTAATTAAATCAATTATTTCAAGAGTTTCTGGAAAATAATCAGGGAAATATCTTTTCAATTTCCCATGGACATAATTATCATCATGATCATCATCGTCAAAAGTTGTAGCAATTAAATGAGCAACCTTAGAACCAAGACTAGTTGCTGAATCATTACGAGTTTCTATAAAGTAAATTAATGCATAAGGAACATCTTTATTGTTTTCTTTTAATACGTTAGTTATAATCTGACAGGTGCTTTTCAAGGTCTCTGCTTCTTAAAAAAAATAGACATGAATGAATACCATTGTATAATGAATGACAATGAATATCGATAATATCGAATCACAAACCATTAAGCCGCCTTCCAAGCTGATTAATAGTTTTTAATCTACGAACAGCCAGGACTTTTTGAGTGACTTCATATGATACACCAAATATACCAAAAACTGTACCATCCGAATTAAAAATTGGACTAAATGTATAGTTA